GTTCTTACTTCTTCTCTTCCCTCTCAATCTCTAATGAATACGTTCCAAATAAGCGTATGTACAGATCTAACGTACAGGTTTATGATTACACAAAAACTAATTCACCGCAATCAATATTTGGAAACCCAATAATGTTACAGAACTCTTCTGACCCTTTGTGTTCTATACTGCCCTGCAATTCTAGACGACGCTACAGTATATACAATATCCTAAGCACCCCCTTCTTGTAACAACGGGAAATTCAAAACGACGGAGAGAAGGGAGAAGGAATTCATTGAACGTGAAGCAGGTGATTATATATGGTCATGTTGCGAGTGAGAACGGGACGTGTGAATGTGTGATTAGTGATTATTGATCGAGTCCCAGACAAAAGTTTGCTGGCGTGGATTGGAGTCAGCTCCATCGCCAGTGTTTTGCACAACAAACTCGCGGTGTTTAAAGATCTGAATAGTCAAACTCGTGCGCAATTTGGATATCTTCACGCGTGTTTTTACAGTCTGTTTCGCCAATTCGCCATCCACGCGCTTCCCGCGTTTTGCTGCTTCCAACCTCGCACCTCAACAGTGCTCCCTTCAATCAAATCAACTACTCCCATAAATAGCAGAAATCCACCTTGCATGGTTCCAAAGACACATTTAATATATTCCAATACCAATTCTTTTCTGGCCGAAATAATTTCAGGGCTCAACACAAGAGCGTATACAGTATTGGATGAATGATAATTACGTAAAATTTGAATTTGAACTCCAACTTTTACATATGTGTTATAAATTCAATAATGATAAAATATATATACTGTCAGTCAGTGTACATAAGATTTACTTTTTTTTTTTTTTTTTTTGTAAATCATTAGTGTTCGTGCACCAGAGGGAGTTTGAGCTTGGTAATAAAGTAGGAGGGATTGTAAGCAGAAGGCTTTGGGTTCAAAGTCTTTTTTGTCTCTCTACCTGCAATGCTTGCCTTTTCTATATGTGTCCATTGCAGGGGTACAAGATTTTCATAATTGAAGCATGAATCAACAACATATTCCGTCCATACTTTACAACTGGAATAGTCAGGACTCATGACATGACAATTAAAACACTACAGTCTTATGATTCTCTAACCAAGTGAAATGGGTGTGTTCTGCACATCAAAACATTTTACTCTTGGATCTCTACCTGTTTAAATTTCTGGACGAAATTGAAGTTGTATTGAACTAGCAAAGGTTTTCTAGAGCGAGACAAAACTTCACAGCACATTGCAGGCCGCAAACACCTGTAGATTCGTTGGACACGGCTGATTTACTTTCACAGTGCTCAGGGAAAAGAGGTATCAGAAATTGCACATTTCTTATCTTATCCAGCACTATAACTTTCCTCCCTTGAGAGAGGGGGGGGGGGGGTGAATTGCCTATTTGCCTATAACAATAATATGATTTTAAGTATGATTTATCCAGCTTTCATATCGAGTCTGCAGGAATCTTTACTCAGAGAATGCAGGTGAATCCCAGTATCAAGTCTCAATCTCTCTATTTCTGTTGATAAGTTATTAACGTTCATCTTTCATCACCAAAATAATTAAGAAAAGGAGAAATGAACTCGCAAAAATTTTGTCCCTTTTACTTTTCTAGATGTATCGTTGGGCTCTGCTATTCGCCAACGTTTGGTTGTTATCCAGGGCAGATAATTTGGGCAAACTTGAGTTCATCGCAAATTCATGAAATTGGGCCACTCATGTGATTTTTTAAGCTGTGCCCATGTATTTTGTATTTGGGCTTCGTAAGTTCTTTTTCTTGGTTAGAACCCGGAGACGCAAACGGGCAAGACAAAAATGCATATGTTGGCATTTCGCAATCAAGTTCACAGGAATCCTTTAATTTTGTTTTTCTTACAGTGCAAGTGAAACTCGTGGAGTATATTGCCATTATCCATCAATGACATCAATTTTCTTTTAAAGTTTGACATTTGCAAATTAAAGCATAAAATAAAATTGTCCAGTAGTACCACAATGAGGAGGAAATTGATAAAGGTCATCTACATTAGGGCTGCAAACGAGTCGAGTCGAGTCAAGTTTTGTTTTAATCGAGTCGAACCTCAACATAATTTTATTGAACTCGAACTCGAGTTTGAGCTCGACGAGCTGACAATTTCAAACTTGAACTCGAGTTCGACTTGATTCGAGCCGAGCTCGAGCTCGAAAAAATAAAAAATAATATATTTATTTTTTTAAAAATAAATAAAATAATATTTTTTCTTAATAAATAATAAAATATTAAGAATATATATGTAATTTTACTATTAAAATTAAAAATATAAAAAATATATATACTTAAATAAAAAATAAAAAATATATATACTTAAAATAAAAAATTAATATATATACTCGAACTCGCGAGCCGGAGCTTAATATTTTAAGCTCGATTTCGACTCGAGCCAATTCAAGCTCAATGTTGATCAAGCTCAAGTCGAGTTTGACTCGAGCGCTTGCGAGCGACTCGATTCATTTTCAGCCCTAATATATATCAACGTAACATGTTATACTGAAACACCGAGACATATGGACTAGAAAAGTCAATCATCCCACAAGGTCCCAATAGAATTATTGCAATTATGGAGAAAAAGAAAATTGGACGAATTGTTAGCTTAATATTTTCTCATTTCTGCAACAGATTGGCCACTACAATTCGTTTGACCGATAAAAATGAGGGGGGAAAAAAGATTGGCTTCCACAACTAGTGTTTTGATGAGACGAGGAGCGTCTCCGGTTATGATCTCCCAACTCAGCGGTGGTCCACCTTCCGCGCACACGTGAAGCCGCTCCCATGGGACAATCACGGTCACGTGTAATTACATACCATTATCAATACTCCACTTCTTTTTACAAGTTGACTTCGTTGGCAACAGCAGGCCATTTCTTCATAAAAGGTCGGTCATGTGTTCGAATGCATTTGTTGATGTGAGAGTTGTATTAATAGTCAATTTATAAAAACTTTTGTAAATGAGCTATGATTCTAGAGGCATGCCCTGACCATTGCTGGTGACCGAGACCCAACCAAACTTTTCATTACCAAAAAAAAAAAAAAAAAATTCCACTTCTTTTCTTTTGCTAAGAAGAAAATGTGGGGCAAAATTATTTTTCACGGGCAAAATCTTATAGCGTGGACCATATGCTACGTTTTTGTTGCTTTAGCTAGAATAGTATTTGCCGGTTTAAGCAAATAGTATCATTAACGGCTTAATCACAGCGCTCCCAAATCTATGTGGCAGAGTAATGGCTTAATTGTTAGATCTCGTGTCCTCTTTCTAAATTTAATTGGTTACATTAAGTTACGATGGAGATATCAAGATGCTGGACAAACCAATGATACCTTAAAATAGAGTAGGAAGTCAAGACGCAATTGTGGGGTCAATTAATTATTTGTCTTAAATGATGGCTTTTATGGCTTTCACACTATTATATGTGCTGTGCTTTGCATGTTTGATGATAATGGAAGCCTCAAGTGCTACGAGTCTTCAAGGAGTGTTATTCATAGAGGCCCGCCGGAGGGTTTTCAATTGGGAAAATTTGATTACTATTGGTCATTGTTGTTCATATTATTGAGAGTTGCATGCAAATGAATTGCGAACCACAATTGACTGATACGTAAAAAACAATTACTGCAACAGTGTGGATTAATGATTTTGCACGCAGAGTGAGCGCAAGCCAAGTTTGATGGATATTGTAATGCTTATGACAACCGGCACGGTTTTATTATCAATGAAGGGAGGTAATTACGCCATCAATTACACTGTAATCATAGAAAAGAATCAATTGAATTGCTACTTTTAGGAGTTTATATAGAAAAATATATTGTAACAATTTGATATATATGAAGTTAAAAAGTGGTTGACAAGCGTGTTTATAGAGAATATTAAAAAATTTCTATAAAAAACTACCATCCAAATGAGGTCGAGAGAACAAAGCATTAGCTTGTCAAAATTTATTTGAGTGGAACACTCCCTCTATATAAATCCCCATCGCAATCTCAATAATTTGTTTTCTAGCAAAAAATAGATTCCATTTGCATAAGTTATAACCCAAATTGAACCAGAGGGAATGGATGGCTTGGGTGGTTGAGAGGAAGGAGTGTGAGTGAGAGATTTGAGTTCGAGTCCTTCCACTTACACTGAAAAAAAAAAAAACTTACAAGTGAAAGACCCTTATAGAAGATACCTAATTAGAGAGAGAAAGAGGGGTAATGAATGTATAATGGATCCTAGCAAAATCAATAATAATAGAGAGTTTGATTTAAGGAAGACAATGTTGGCATATTAAATCAAAATTGAAAATTAGAAATTTTCTATATTCTTATTTAGTAGTGTTTTAGTCAAGTTAGAGTTTTAGTAATTCTATTGGAATCAAGTTATGGTTGTTTTATTGTTTAGGAAATTAGCATGTTATTAGGAACTTTCTTGTGGTGTAAGACTTGTTTGTCAAGTCATCTAGTCTACAAATAGAAAGTTGTATTATTGTGTTTAATTGAGAAGAGTGAAGGATTGAGAATCTTGTTTTTATGATATGATTAATATATTATTATTGATATTATTCCCGTTCTCCCGCACATATTTTTATGTTTGTAAACTGCCTCCCTCTCATACTGGTTTTGTCAAATATATACCTCCAATAATTTTTTTAAGCTGACCCTTATAAAAATACCTAATTAGAGAGAGAAAGAGGGGTAATTAATGCATAATGGATCCTAGCAAAATCAATAAAAAGAAGTTGATTGATTAAGGGTAATCTTAGCAACATACATAAAGATTTAGGTACTTCTTTTTTTTGGGAAAGAAAATGGTTTAAGAAACTTGGATCCCGTACAAAAATCCCGGACTTCATTAACATGAGGAGAAATTAAAGGGTCGAGTAGACGGCGGCCTCCCTAATGTGTTGTTATTCACGCTTACTCGACCACTCCCCGTAGAACATTCTAACTGCTAACTTGCTAAGAAAGACGCTACATACATAATTCTCATCCCAGCCGCTAAAAATTTGGCGGCACCAAAACCGCTGCTAAACTCAGCCCCGTTCTTTTACCTCAACCGCCTTTTTATTCCCCGCCCCCCCCCCTCTTCCTAGATTTCAGTAACCTCCGACTCCTTAGATTCAGCTCTCCAGAATCACAATCACTTTACACTCCCAAGATTTTCTTGTGTCGATATTGAGATGGAAACTTCTCAGACTACATCGTCTATCCCTAGCCTTTTGTGCGAAGAAGATGAATCTTGCTTCACTCTGAACAACGAAAGTGATGAAACCTTGTGCCAATGTTGTATTGTTGAGTATGATGATGAGTACATTGAAATGCTGATTCACAAGGAATCTGATTTACAGTCAAATACCAATAAATCTCTTTGCAATAGTTCAATCGACGAGACTGACGAACAGAGTTGGTCGAAACGTGCCCGCTTAGATGCTGTCCAATGGATTCTTGATGTTTGTTGTCTCTTCTCTTTCACTACTTTGTGCCATCCTTTTCATTCTGGGATTTGTTTATTATTTATTCTTTTGCTCATTCTTTTTGGGTATAGACCAGAGCTTTATTTGGACTTCACTTCCAGACGGCCTATCTGTCACTGATATACTTCGACGGGTTCTTTTCTAAGCGATCCGTTGAGGTGAGTATCATTTTTCAGTTTCTCGCTCGTTCTTGTGATATTTTGCTCGTCTCGAAACGCGATTCAATAATAGACTTCTCTGATGGTGGAAAATAATTTGTGACACTGCCTGATCGATGTTGGCAGGATGGGAAATTATGGGCTATTCGGTTGTTGTCCATTGCATGTTTATCTTTGGCTGCGAAGATGGAGGAGTATAAAGCGCCGGCATTATCTGACTATCACATAGATGAATGTAATTTTGAAGGCCGCCTGATTCAGAAAATGGAACTGTTGGTTTTGGATGCTTTGGAGTGGAAAATGAATGTACTCACCCCTTTTCTTTACTTTCGATACTTCATAGCCAAGTTTTATGGTGAGTCAAGACCGAAAGGGCTAATGTCAAGAGCCATCGAACTCACATTGGCTATGCTAAAAGGTGATCCATAGTTGCACTAAGTTGAGTTCCACCTCATTTTGCAGATAACGTATTTTTCTTAGTTGGCTTGGTTTTTGTTAATTCAGATATTAGTTTAGTAAAATATCCACCATCCATGATTGCTGCTGTGGCTGTTTTAGCAGCCTGCGATTCTCAGTTGACAATGAAGATGTTGGAGTTCAAGCTGAGCATAATCTCATCATGGGGTTCTTCACATAAAGTGAGTTTCCTTGCTTTTAATTGAAAGTAATGATTTGCGATGCATCATGATTCATTCTTCCTTCGTTTGCACTTTATGCCCGCGCAGAAAAAGTTATACTACCTGTGTGATTTCATGTATTCGTAATGCATTGGGACAGGACAATGTACTCTTATGCTACAATCTAATGCGGGAAATTCAGAAGGCTAAGTCCAACACCCCAAATCTGCAGAGTCCCCTGAGTTTATCGTTAAAGCAATCAAGCTCACGTGATTGTCGGGAAAGTAGTTGCATAATTGGCACCAAAAGGAGGCTTACATACCCCGACAGTGATCAACATCAACCTTCGCAGAGGACTCGTCGATCTCCATAGGAAGATCAATCACCTTGCCAGATTCCCAATTGCTACTAATTAGTTACAAGCGATGATTTGGTGTGCATTGGATTTGATGGCAGATTCCAGTTTCCAATATGAACCAGAAGTTTCTGCCTCTTAGACAAGTGCAAAAATACCAATGAAGAAAGAGAAGCACATACTATTAAGAAGCTGACTTCAGTTTGAAGAGACAAACGATGGCCAAATAGGATGTCCACAAGGTTGCTGGAGAGGTGGAGACTGTAGTAGTGCTTGCTATAGTGGTATCGGCCATCATAAATGAAAAAAAAAAAATGTGCTAGTGCCGCCCTGTTAACTTTTTTTCAGTTTGCAAATTGTTCTCATTGTTTAGATCTTTGCTTTTTGTTTTGATGGGAAAAACCCATTCGCCCAGTCTTGGGATGCTTCCTCTGTTCCCTCCAAAAGGCTATTTAATAACCAATGAGCTGTAGGGAATGACAGTTGTCTTGTTTGATTTGATTCATCCGCCTTACATTTGGGCCATCCAAAATGTGCAAAAGTTGGATTTTTTTTTTTTTGGGGGGTAGGTTGGAGGCTGCTTTGTGATGCTCGGGCAATTTCCCTTTCACTGTTTACTTTTCGCTGTACTTGGGGACGCCGCGAACCCGGAAGAACTCGGAGTCTGAAATCATTTGAGAATCGAACAGGGGACGTGTCCTTTGAGCGATGAAGACTAGTAGTAGTAGTATTACTCTATAACCACTGGATCCGTGGCCAAGAGGAGGGGGTTTAAGTCCCTCCTTTGATTAAAGGTGAGGGTTTAAGCCAAATGTAAGAGGCAATGGATTTATGAACTTATGATGTTATGCTTGATTACCTGTCTGCCAAAGGGAAAATGTACTGTCAAAGTTAAAAAGCAATGGGACGCCGTTTTGGTTAAGTACATTGTTGGTTATTTCTTGCCGTGATAGGACTTCTTTTGTGGGGATAAAAAGGTTTGCTGCTAGTTACTTGTTTAATATAGCGTGCTAAACCAAATGTGGATCCTCATACTTGGGCAAATTTCTCGAAATAATGTTAAAACCAAAAATTATCACAAAAATAGTAGTGTTTTGTAGGGAGTGTGTATATCATAAGAGTCGCTGCAAGTCACAATATCGGCTTAAAGGTTGTTTGATTTTTTTTTTTCACGGCTTAAGAATTTTTGAAGTTAAGATTTTCAGTTGCATTTTTTTTTTATTTTAGCTAAAGATGTACCGTTGATTAACATATTATCAAGGGTCATGATTTGAAGGAGCAGGAAAAAAAATTTTTAAAATCTTATTGCCGCAATACTAATTTGTGGCGAATGAATTAAAAATTTTTTTTCCCTTAACCGCACATCTGATTTGTGATTTGTGGCGTTTTGGAAAACTTTTTTCGTTAATCGTACATCAGATGTGTGGCGTTAGTTATTGTGAATTTTTCATTGAGAAAAGCTTTTTGACCAGTCAAACGATAGAACTTTCATTAGCCGCAAACGCCACAGCTTTCATTGGCTAACCATATGCTTTATCTTTTCTTAATACTTATCTTCTTTTTTAGGTTGATTCTCTGTTGCGGATCGGTTCAATTTGTAAAATGTATCTCGATCCCACTAATTCTTTGCAGTGTGCTCATCTGGGACTAACAACGATACGTGAGGTGACATTTGAGGCATTACAATATTTGAATTTGTGAATGAATTGGCGGATAATATTCAGATTTTAAGAATTTTTTCTTGTAAAATCTTTTATTTCATTATTATTTAAGTTTTTATTGAATTATTGTACCTATTTATCCTTGAATGCTGCATTATTTATCGTTATTTAAATTAAAATTAAAATCAAAGTATTTAAAAAAAAAAGGATGATTTGGCCAAATCTCATATTTAATTAGTTTTTTTTTTAATTTTCAACTGGAACCTTAACCAATTTTTATAACATGCTTAATCACCACTTATGAAATTAGCACAATTCTTGTAGGTAAATTAAATTTTAGGCTTCCATGGTTTGGGTTTACATATTAGGGTTTTAGTGCTAGGGTTTAGGGATTAGGATTAGGATTAGTGGAACAATTTGTACTAGTGAAATGACTTAATGAAACACCAGAACTAGATTGTTCATCTGCTCACTATCGTTTCATAGCAGACGTGTGAACCCAGAAATATTGCAATTGTCGAGTGGTGTAATTCCGTGGAACTTAATCAATTCTAGCCCTTGAAATTGGTTAGCTGAAATCAGAAATTCTTCATCTTTTTCACTTTCGCAAAACTTCTTATCCCATATTTCCTGATTTTAACAGATTGTTGATAGATGTCCAAATTGTTTGACCTGCTTAGTTCTGGGTTAGGAGCATTCTAAGAAAACAGATTTGTTACTATTAAAATTAAAAAATTAACATCGAAAGATTTTTTTCAAAAAAGTAGATTGGAGGGATCAAGTCCCATCACTTAGGCTTCGTTTGGGAGTGGAGGATTTGAACAAAAAAGAAAGGGAAAGAAGAGAAAGTTAAGTTTTCCTTCATTTGGTTAGTTTTTAGTAGAAAAGAAAAGAAAGGAAATGTAAAAGAATTTAAGATGATGAATAGTAGCCAAAATTTTTCCTCCCACATTGGAAAGAAATGGGAAGAAAGTTTGAGAAAATTTGTCAATTTTTTTAAAAATACCTATTTTGTCCTTAAAAAGATCTTGAACAAATATTTAATGACTTCGATATCCAAAATCATTCCACTAATTTTTAAAACTCCCAAATAACATAACAATGTCTTCTCCTCTCTTCTCTTCTCTCATAAATTAAATTTTCCCTTCTTTTCTTTTCTATCCTTATCTCCCAAACTAAGCCTTAAAAATTAATTGTGGATTCAAAATCCAGTTATATTCAAAAGTTTCTTTTTAGCTCATATACTTCAAGGTGTTATAGTACTACAATTTTTTTTTATTTTATAAAAATTTCAAAAGATGGCCGGACTTTTATTTATTTATTTACTATTTATTTTCTGTTTTCTTCCTCTGATGTTGTTTGTCTGCTTTCCCCTCTCGCAGGCCGCCAAAACTAGTTTCAAATTTGAAAGTAATAAAAGGTACAGAACTACCTAATTGATGGGCTAACAGACCAATCAAAGCTTAACGACACTTCCTGTTCCCCACATCCCAAATCCAATCATGTCTTTCCATCCATCGGTCACCCAAACAACCTTCACAACGCGCGTAACTCTTAACCGTTCCCTCCCATTCCAAGACACTGACAACACTAGAAACACGCACTTCCCCACTCACAAAAACGCGCAGCAATCCTTTCGATGGAGAAGAGGCTTCGCTCGTCGCTGAAGACCTCAGCAGAAGAATTCCTCTCAACAGCTAAAAAGCTAGGGTTTGCAAAATCTACAAAATCCACTCTCAAAAACTTAATTTACACCCTTACTCCTCCTTCTGACCTCGTTTCTTCCCTCCCGCCCTCTCTCCACCGCTCAATTTCCCAATCAATTAACAAATTTAAATCGTTTTCCAGTTCAAGCCCCCAAACTTCCCCTCAGACTCCACCTACTAAGCGCGTCCGCCGTTCCTCCCGCCACCTGAAAAGCGATGATGCTTCTCACACCACCGAAAACGAAAAGAAAAGGCAGAAGGAATCCGTCGTCGAAAATCTCGAGATTTACACGTATATTGCCTTCCTCTGCGTCACACATCCGAAAGGTGCATTTTCGGCTGCTGATCTACTCCCTGGAGTTAGCGAGTTGCACGATAATTTAGTTATATTCGAGTCGGATTCGACGTTGCTGTCGGAGATTGCTAATTTGTGTGAGGAGTGGTGGAAGAGGAATTTGCCTGGAAAAGAAGCCCTAATTTCGCAGTCATTGCCTTTTCTGCTATCGAGGTCATTGACTTTAAAGAAGAAAGTGGACGTTCACAGGGTTTACAGTCTTCGAGAGGCGTTTATTTTGTTTGATTTTGAAGATGAGGAAAGTATCGAGGACTTGAAGAATTTGTTAATGCGTTGCGTGATATCCCCCTTGTATTTTAAGACAGAGGAAGGAAGGAAGTTTATCGCATTTATATTTGGGCTGAGTGGGCAGCTAGTGACGGAGGCCTTGGCGATGATTAAGTCGCAGATCCCATTTGGAAGGAAATCCATGTTGGAAGCTTATGGGGAGATTGTTTTTCGGGTTTGGAAGTCCGTGGAAGGAGAGTCGAAGGACGAAATCGAGAACGACTTTTTGCAGGGGTTGATCGAGAGCGCTATACATGCTACTTCCCCCGCATTTGCTGCTTCTATCAGGACGGTTTTGGGGGCGTTTATCATCCAAAGAACAACACATGGGGTTGAGAAACTGCTCTTTAGGCTTGCCGAGCCTGTGATCTTTCGTTCTCTTCAGGTAATTTTTACCGCTTCATTTTCTTGTGATTCAGTTAGTGGTATAGAGCTGTTTGTTGTGTGCTACCGTGGCTGTGCAGTGTAAAAGCTAACAATTCAGCTCATTACGTTTACAAGCATGATATGATTCTACAATCTGGTTCTTTCTTTTGCCACTCCTCATCATTCAAAACTGGTCTAGGAAATTTTACATTGCATTATCAGATGAAAATTTTAAATCATTTCTTTGCTAGGACCTAATTCAGTAGTCAGAATTGATTGAAAATGTAAAAGGAAACTGTCTTGCCGCTTTATATTACAAGTTGAAGCTTTTCGCAAATAGTTTAATGGGAACTTAACTCATTGACCTATATTGTTGTCTGGATGCTGTCAGGCTGGCGTAGTGATGGTGTGGCAACTGGAAAACTTATAGCTTCTTAGTGAATTGAAGAGAAGTTTGATAAATGGGAAAAATGCATTACTAGTTACTACTGCAGGACTTTTTTATTTTTGAATATTGAGTTCTCTCACTAGCTCTCAAGTTTGAGGGTCATCATTGGTCTTTCTCAAACTCAATGGAGGTAGCTACTTGTTTTCCTATAAAGAATATATTCATACATTATGGTACTGGTCCATTTTTTTCAGGTAGCGAACTCCAATGTTCGTCACAATGCACTTCATTTACTTCTAGACCTATTCCCCCTTGAAGATCCTGATGCGACAAAGGAGGTTGAAGATACGCTGCTTGATAAACAGTTTTTTTTGGTGAATAAATTACTTACAGATGAATGTCCAGATGTGAGAGTTGTGGCTGTGGAGGGTGGTTGTCGCATACTTAACTTGTTTTGGGAAGTTATTCCTACACCATCCATCACAAAGATACTTACCAAAATTTTTGATGATTTGACACATGACAATTGTACTGAGGTTAGGTTTTCCACGGTTAATGGAATCATGTACCTTCTTGGAAATCCTCATTCCCATGAAGTCCTTAAAGTACTTTTACCTAGAATGGGGCATTTGATTCTGGATCATGCACTTTCAGTGCGCGTTGCTATCATGGATCTGCTTCTTCTTGTAAGGGATATGCGGAACTTTC